TAATCAAACGCAAACTAAACCGAAACATTTGCATAATAAGACTTGGCAAGAACATCATAGGTCGACCTCGTTACATCATCGGTCGACCTCAGTTAATCAAACATAATATAAACCGAAGCATTTGCATAACAAGACTAGTCAAAAACATCATAGGTCGACCTCATTACATCATCGATCGACCTCAGTTAATCAAACACAAGCTTAACGAAAGCATTTGCATAACAAGAGGAGTCAAAAAATCATAGGTTGACCTCATTACATCATCGGTCGACCTCAGTTAATCAAACACAAGCTAAACCGAAGCATTTGCATAACAAGACGAGTCAAAAACATCATAGGTTGACCTCATTACATCATCAGTCAACCTCATTTAATAAAAAAAGCTAAACAGAAGCATTTACATAACAAGACGAGTCAAAACATCATAGGTCGACCTCATTACATCATCGGTCAACCTCAGTTAATCAAACACAAACTAAACCGAAGCATTTGCATAACAAGACTAGTCAAATACATCATAGGTCAACCTCATTACATCACCGGTCGACCTCAATTAATCAAACACAAACTAAACCGAAGCATTTACATAACAAGTGTAACACCCCGGTATTTTAGAGTTAGGTTCGACTTTAATACGTGATCGGTTGGATTGATGATTACGTACTAAGTGTTACAATCGCGGATTAAGAATAATAATATTATAACATTATTATTGTTATAATAATATTATTATAATTTTAGTTATTGAAAAAAAATAGAAAGCGGCCTTGGGCCGAGAGGGAGAGGGTGGCGAACCCCTTCGCGATTTCTCACCCCATCCCTTTCGTGTTTCTAGGTAAGGATCACGAACCCCTTCGCGATTTCTAAACTCGATTTATCGATAGTCTAATTTGAAGCTCGTTTTTATTAGCGGTGACGTTTGAGGGTTCGATCAACGAGGAGATCAACGTCCCGGGTCATCCAACCTAGGCCTAGGCACGTTCTAGAGGTAAGGGAACTCGATCGCTTTGACTTAGGTCGATTAATTTGGGGGGTTTTCGTGAGGGTGCAATTTTGAGGTTTTAGCAACAGACGTTTAGGCCTTTAGTGACAGAATTTGGGTGGTCACTAAAGCTGCAGGGAATTTCCAGAAATTTGTTTTAGATGATTTAAATTGTTTCGAGTCCTTATGAGGTTTTCTTTCTGAGTTTTAAAATTTTATAAATTGAGGAAGGTCAAGAAGATGGCTGTAATTTAATTTGAGGATTTTGGAAGATGTATTTCTAAATTTAGAAATTGTTCAAACATTATTTTTAATTAAATAAAAATATTTCCGGGGGGTTTATAAGGATTTGATAATTTTCCATGGTATAAATGCTCATGATTGATATAGGAAAATTATTATCCAAATTTTTAAGAAGGTTCAAGTTAGGTGGAAAATTCGTCCAAGACTAAAATAATTAGGAAAAGTGGTCGGTTTTGAAGGGAGTATTTATAGAAAAATTTTAATGGGGGTTAAGGGACCTTTGGAGTGAGGCTTGAGGATGGGACTTTGAGTAGAGGGTGTCTGGGTAGATAAAAAGGAGGCATTTAAATCGAGAAAGGTTGTCTTAGAGTATGGATTCTTATTAATAGGTTTCCCCAAGATAATCCGGCTAAGGAGGGATTTTTTCGAGGAAGGAATTGAGGAGTCATCTTTTCGAGGTGAGTGTAAAGGGGTAAAATCTCTGTCGTAGGTCTTTTAGTTTCTGCTTTTCGTTCAAGTTATTAATTCATTAATTTTTGAGTAATGTGCGATATGTGTGTGAGGCATCCCACCGCCTGTAAGGATGGAGGCACGCGTTGTGCTATGTATGAATGTATATGATGTTGTATGGTTGATGGTATGAGGAACCCCCGGGAGGTTGGGCCACTACTGGACGCGGTAGATGGTCGGGTCACTACTGGACGGCGAGACGTAACGCAACAGTTGATCGAGTATGTTGGGGTCAGTACTGGACGGCGAGACGTAACGCAGTAGTTGACGGGCATGGGCTGGACGGCGAGACGTAACACAGTGCCATTGCCGGGTTTGGGTATGCAACCGGACGGCGAGACGTAACACAGTGGTCCTAATGTTTTGTGTGAGATAAGGATAGAAGTCGAGAACGTTTTAAGTTAATGTTGAGATGAGTTGATAAGAATGATTATTGAAGAGCAGAAAGTGAGAACGACTTTCATGCTAGCAAGGCCTTCCCCTAATAACGTGTTTAGTAAGGAGTTTGCCTAGGGCAAAGGCCTTAGAAAGTAACGACGAGATTGACCCCTTCTCACTCACCAGGTTGAGGATAGTCTAGCAGAAGTGGATCACGAGGAGAAGCAGGGCGAGGCGAGCAGCAGTACCAGCGTCGACGGGACATCAGAAAGCTCGTGAGGAGTCAAGTTGGATTAGTTAATTATTCTGTTTCATGGTTATTAGTATAAACTGGAGATTCTGTGTTAAGTCGTTTTAAGTGTTTGAGATTGATAATTTTTTCCAAGTGCTAGGGCTTTTCGTTAAAAAAATTCTTAAATAATGTCAGCTTATTTATTTTAAAAAGTGGTTTGGTTGCTCCGGAGTAACCGGTTTTTGGTTTGAGTTATGCTTTGGTTTTTGAAAAGAGACGGGACATCGTAACATATATAGTGCACATTTCATAAATCGTAACATATATAGTGCACATTTCATACGAAAGTTCTACCTACCAACCAACAATCAACCACAAAATTCTCGTAAATCGTAACATATATAGTGCACATTTCATACGAAAGTCGTAGCAGTATAGTACTTACAATGAGCAAATCTAGCTACTCTTGCTAATGACCAAACTCAAATCCTTGCTGCCAAACGTTGTTTCGCTCTGTCAATCATATAAACAAAACAAATTAGCACTAATGATAGTAATATTAATATCTTCACTCACATATGAATATACTTGTGTACCTTTAAATGGTGCTCTTTAAATAAATCGTCTATGCTCTGGTAGCAATTTGCAGAGTCATCATGGTCTTCCTCCTCTTCATCAAAGTCAAATTTCTTTCTTGTAACATCTCATCCTCCATTCTCCATTCGTTCTGCACGCATTTCTTTGATAGCACCTTCTAGCCTCTCAAAACCATCATGCATCATCCTAGTCATATCTGTCAATCGAACTGACAATTGCTCCACTGTATCACGAATGGATTTCTGATAGTCATTGAATTCTTTTTGACACGCCACCAGCGGCTCTTGTGTGGGTTTCAGCACTTTCATGATTCACCCAAATCGTGTTGCTGTTTCTCATCATGCGCCATCGTCTAAACAATTTAAAGAAAATTCAATCATAATTCAACTTCAATTTTGTACAATTGACCAAAAATAGAGATGTGATCATCCTGGCCTGTTATTAGGTCGACCTTAAAGACAATTTGTCACTACCAGAACCATTTAGGTCGATCTTTGCTCTTCGTAGGTCGACCTATCCAGCAAGAAAATACTAATTTACCAACAAAAGCAAGTTTAATATTACCACGAACAACGAATAGGTCGACTAGACACATTGACCGACCGACCTTTTAAGCACAACATAGTCTTACAAACAAAGCCAAAGTCGACATTCAGGATTAACAACCAAAACAAACAGAAACGGTTGACTTTGAAAAATATTAGGTCACCTATTAGGTTTGATCTTCCTTACCTAGCAAGTACAGAAGTCCAAGTGTTGTGCCCTAAATTCAACTTTGAGCAATTGTGAAACAGAGGTCGACCCGATTGAGATAAGGGTCGACCGAATGGTATTCTGCATGCAACAAAACATCAAATTAAACTGTGCAAATTACGCATTAGACAAGATGACGGCGATAGCTACATTAGGTCGACCTCACCTTCGACGTGGTCGACCTCTTGAAACACGTACAACAGCAACCACATATAATCTTCGTCACAAAAACTCTAACCGTAAAAAAAACAACCTAATTCAGAGTTTCGGTGGCGGTGAAGGTGACATGTATTTGTATTTATAGATATTTAGAACGAGAATGGGCCGAATTAAGTGGTAGATAAGTTAGGGTTACCTTTATGGTATTGGAATCCTTATCCAATACAGATACGGTGTGCACGCAGTCGAACTCGTACTTATGAGGTTGACCTATTAAGTGCAAAATGGTTGGCCTTTGAGGTATTGGGATCGACCTCTTATTCTGTTCGCTTCCCAAAAAGGTCGACCATTTGCTATAAAAGGTCAACCGCGTCGTTGAACCTCACAAAACTGAAATAACAGATTAGGTCGACCTAATCCTATATGAGGTCGACCGAAAAGTGCAAATTACGGTGACATGTAGCAAAGTCCAATAAAATATCCGTATTTTATACATAACTAACATGTATTGTATTTTACTAACTATGGTAATAACTTTTAAAATTAAGTCATCATACTATTTTCTGAATTGTTTTTTGTAGGCATTTAAAATTTATAATATTAAAGTGGTAAAAGAATATATATGATATTTGGTCGTCTTCTATTATTAATAATGCATTGATATTTGGATAATGCAAATAAAATTAAGATGAAACCGCTTCCAAAGAATATTTTTCTATTATAAGAATATTTTCATCACAATTAATAAATATTTTTTTATTATAAGAATTCCAACTATTCATCGCTAAACTAATAAGAAAATGGAAAAATATACATAACGCCGAAAGTTGCGGACGCTGCAACGGATGTCGATGGTGCTGGATTATTAAAGTCTTTTAATAATAGAAAAAAAATATAGACAGATGTGATTTTTTAATTGAGAAAGCCCATAATACTAAGTAGTACACTAACTAAGGGTGGCCGATCAGTTTCCGGTTGCGATTAACCGACCGGTTTAATCGATAACCGGTTGGTTAGTAGCTAACCAAAAATCAATGATTATTTACCTTTTTCGGTGCTCGGTAGAGGAGATAAGATTTCCCGTTAACCGAGTAACCGAAGATGATTAACCACGGTTAACCGGCTAACCGAAATCACTGACCTACCCAAAACGACGTCGTTTTATGTTATAAAACAATTACCCCAACCCTTTCTTCCTTCCATTTTTTGTCCACCTCCTCCAAACAGCAGCCACCCCACCCCCTTCGTTCACCCCCAAACCCCAGCCCTCCTCCACAATCCGATGATCCCCGGCGACCCCCGCCGATCCCCGAGGACGCCTTCCTCCGCGCCTTCCTCCGTTTAATACAGCAGAAAATCACGCTGTATCCTCCGCGCCTTCCTCCAACGCCTTCCTCCGTCCCAGACAGCCTTCCTCCGCACCTTCCTTCGTCCCAGACAGCGGCGAGCCCAGGCTCCGTGACGCCTTCCTTCCTCCGCACCATCCGCCGACGACCCTATCCCCAGCCCGCGGCCCACGACCCGCGACGCTGCCCCCTGCTGCGACTCGGCGACCCTCGCCCCCTGCTCGATCCATTGTTTTGCAGATCAGCAGGTCGAGAAAATCGATCCTTTGCTCGATCAGGTGAAGTAAGAATTCGAGTTCCTTTGTCGGTGTGAAGCTCCCTCAAAGCAGTCGAGCTTCCCTTGCCCCACCAGCAGCGGCGAGTTCCTTGACGGCGCGAAGCTCCATCGATTTCAGGTGAGCTTCCCTTTACCCAGCAGCAGTGGCGGCCTCCTCTGTTGAGTTTAGTCCCTCTTCCTATGCTAGCTAGGTTTCTCAAAATTATAATAATGACTAGAATTTACCTGCATCAAATTGTTTGAACAATTTGAACAATTTACCAGGGTTTTAATTGTTTGACCAATTTGATTGGCCGTTTAGTTGTCATTTCATTTCTTAAAGCTGCCACAACCGAAAAAAAATTAAAATGAAAATAAGCTGCAGTTTCGTGAGAAACCAAACTTGAAAAAACATTGTTTAGTCGATAATTTTGATGAGTTCCGAAACTGAATTCTGAAAATGAAAACCTGTTTAGTTACTTCATATTGTTTTCTGGAACTTGATTACCACAATTTCTGTTACTTCATACACTAATGGGTTTCCGGACTCATACGGTGAGTTGAGTTGTTAATTGTAAGTTTTTATACATGCATGGAGTAGAAGTAAAATATAAACAGAAAACAGGCAGTGGCAGTGGTCCTAACTGCCATAGAGGCCGCCTAGGGCATCACAAAAGGGAAAAGAAGAAGAAAAGCAAGGAAAACAAAATCATCACAGTTCCTCCAACATAAACAACATGGCTTACATGGACATGGACACACTACTACTTTGATCAAAACAACACGGCGTCATCTACCCTTGAGAGACTTACACGGGTATATTAGCCTAGCTACATTCTTAACTAATCTCATATTAAAAGCACTCTGTAACAAGATCAAGTATCATGGGTTAGTCAACACTGATAAACTAATCCAAATTGGTTAGTCAGTACACTCAATTCTAAACTACTGAAAAGGAAATAAAAATGAGACAAATGTCCAAAGACAAGAAACCCACCACACTCCCCTTCTTGCCCCCAATTCCCCCTCTTCACAGGGGGAAACAACCTAGAACCAGAAACACACCTCTATACAACAAAACATTTTTATGCATTGATTGAGCACCACCAAATTTGAGTCCATTCCCTACAAATGACCTTATTGTAGATTCGTCATATGAATAGACAGTTATCACTTACAGCAATAAGATTCAAAGTAGATGCACTTCGTTCAAGTATCATTACACAACCAACATGAATCCAAATGGCCTAACCCCATGAATGAAGTTTCTGGACTAAGCATTTCAGAATCAACATTCTGTTCGCAAGAGAAAAACATTGATACATACATGCCCGCTGTTTAATGTAGATGATATGTTACCCACCACACAAGTACCAAATAATTCCCATAAAGAGATTATTATTGTACTAGCTAGCATGCAGCATAAGCTTTGGAAGAATAGAACCAGGTCGTGGGACTTCAATTGATGAAATGAAACCAATATGATTAAACTAAGCATTACATCATTAATCCAAACTCCTATCATCTATCAAATTGCATTGACAATCTCAGTGACGACAAAGATGAAGAACCGCTTTAGGTGACCTAAAAGTTCTTATACTCAAGTTTCCATTAACCCACCCGAACCGTCACATTAGTGTATGAAGTAACAGAAATTGTGGTAATCAAGTTCCAGAAAACAGTATGAAGTAACTAAATAGGTTTTCATTTTCAGAATTCAGTTTCAGAACTCATCAAAATTATCGGCTAAACAAGGATTTTTCAAGTTTGGTTTCTCAGGAAATTGCAGTTTCATTTTCATTTTAATTTTGTTTTCTGTTGTGGCAGCTTTAAGAAATGGAATGACAACTAAACGACCCATTAGTGTACAACTACTTGGGTCGAGAAGATAAGTATGTTTCAAAGTAGCAAGTTAGGACTTGTGCAACTACTTCGAGCCACCATTGACCAGCATAGTTATGAGACTTCAAACGTTTTGAAACCAGGCGTTTTAGAGCAAGGCCAAGGGAATAAGCCCTCACAGCATCTGGGTTTGGAGTTTTGAGTAACAAGCATAGCTCAGGATGACTGGCGTTGTAATTGGTTGGAAAAGAAAAGAGCCAGCCTTCTTGCTACTCTATATTGTTGTCGTATTTATTTATTTCATCCACCGAACTCTTCAGCTCGCTCATGGTGAGTTCGCTCTTTGGTTTTCTTTTCCGTCTATTCTTGTTCCTACTTTCGAGTCTTGAATGCTAGCATGCAATCTAACATCTTCATATTTGGCAGAGCACAGGTCAAAACTGTATGGCTTACACCCTGGCTGGCTCTTCCCTCATAGTCTTAATGTGAGAGTTGTTCCTCCTTCCTTTCATCAAATATGCTATTCCAGTCCTTTCTCACACGAATCTCCATGCTAAAGGCAGAAAGAAATTGCATAGTTTTATCCCTTGATCTTCCATGATTCAATATTTTCCCACAGGAACCCATGATTCGTTTTATTTTTCATTTTGGTTCATTCCTAGTTACCTTTGATTTGCATTTGTACTGTTTTCCCATGCAGGATGTCTCTGATGCCCAATGGAGAAACTTTCGTGGGAATCTACCTATTCTTACTTCTGTATTTGCAATTTTCGCTGTCGTAGCCAATGCATTGAAGGCCTTCTTGTCTTTGGGAGCTAAGAGCATGTCCATTTCCTGGATTTTGATTTCTTTGGCCTATTTGGCATATCTTCATGGGGCTTGGTATTTCTTCCTTTTTCCTCAACTGCTTTATTCCTTGTGAGTATAACATTCTGGTGTTGGTTTGACTCAAATCTTCGTTTCTCTTTGCAGCACCATCTACATCTTGTTAATAGCTTCTGCTAATTATATTCTAGTAATGGTGAGTTACTTTGAACGTTGGACCTTTCTTGCGTTTATGATACACTACCTTTATGTACTTATGGGTAATTACACTTCCATTCCTTTAATATCTTGTGCTTATCTGTGATAGTCTGCCTTTGTTCATCACTTTCCTGGATATCTTTCTCCAACTCTGCAACACCCACTGTGATCAAGTTGACCTATTTGTGTTAAGAGCCTAAATAATTTATTAGATATAAGTTGCTTTTTTTAACAAGCATAGTCATAGACTATATGAATCTAACGGAAAATTTAAGCTCCTGAAAGTACAAATATCGAGTGGGATGCTGTAATAAAGTAAACCCCTTGTGATCACAATCCACCTCTCCCCCAATCTTTGACTCCCTTTCTCCAATGATTTTTCAAGTCTATGATATATTATTGTACAATGTCTCTATTTCTGCAGATATTTGCACGAACAAAGTACTTCTCATTTGCTATTTGGGGTTTCAATATTTTTGTTCTTGTTTGCAATCGGATTTATGAGGGATATTCATTCTCCATATTTGGGTGAGCTTTCTGAGTTAAGTTTTTTACCTTTTTGTTGGACGCAAAATCAAAATGTATCCTTCTCCAATGCTTATCTTTTTCTTGTAGGGAGCAGTGGGCATACTTAGATAACTTTCGAGGCACCTTTAGGTGGCACATTTGCTTTAACTTTGGTAAGTATAGTTCTTTATCTGTCGATTAAATTTAAACCTTTACTTCCGCAGGTAAGTTATGAATATGCTATCATCCTGTCTTCTTGTATTGGGGTTTAACAATTTGTCTCTTTGTTGCAGTTATTTTGCGCATGGTAAGCTTTGGATATGATTATCATTGGGCTAATCAACAACGTCATTTTGATCAAAGGGTAATTGACATACATTAGATTGCTATGATTTGTTTGTAATGTTGCTATCTTGGATCTAGAAATATATTATTTCTTTCCATGCTTTTGTCCGATTTAACAAAATAGCACTACATCTGTGAGGTAATGGATGCTTAAAACTACGCTACTTTTTCAAAATGAGAGGGGATCTTTGTTCCTACATTGTCCAATGTTGTCTTTGAGTATTCTTGGCAAGATTTTCAAGAATATAATTCTATGAATGTAATCTCTTTGCATCCCGATCATGTTGCACTTTGATTTTCTTATGCACTACAGAGTTAAATGTAATCAAAATCAAGTTGTATCTCCAATGATCAATCAGAGCAACACTCCTATTCTCGATAGTCAAGAAAATATGATTCTGAGACACAACCCTCATGGTTAATCATTAAACAATACATATACATGTGGAAAGTTGTATGTTTTTCCACATTGATGAGGATTTCAACTATTGTTATTGTGTAAGAAGATGGGCATGCCATCCTTGTAATTGTAGTTATTCCCTGGGTCAGCCTTTTGGTATCCCTTGGCTGTTGGTCAAACTTTCTTAGTATCCTTTGTTTGGCAATTCTTACGAGTTTAATTTCCCTAGTACCACTTTTTGCTCCTCTTCTAAGTTAAACTCCTCTATCAACTTTGTTTCTAGGGTCTTACATTCAGCTTGCGCATACGCACACCCTTTTGGTTTACTCGTTAAATAGATTTATTGTAGCTTCAATAGATTGGAGGGAATTTTTTCTTTGCCTATCATGCCTGATGAAAATGTTATTTCTGCACGTCACCTTGTTTCCGTGGTTCTTGTGGCCTTGACTTCTTTAAACTCTTGTGCGTAAAAAAGCTTTTATTTTTCACTCAAGCACGTGCATATGTTACCCTCTCATACTGTATGGTCAGTAGTAGCTATAAGCTAATTTTTTTTTTAATACTGATAAACCCAGAAGCACATCCAGCGTTGCCATACTTGTAAATCTGGGGGAATCTGCTACCAATTGCTACAGGTACCTTTGAGCTCTTTCAGTGGACTCCTTGAATTTTGAGATACTTAAAAGGAATTTTGTGGTGGATATCTGTAACTGCTTTATATATTCAGGAGAGAAGTGTGCCAATTGATAACTTTTCATTCAGTGTGTACTTATCATATCTGGTCTATGCGCCACTTTACCTTGCTGGCCCAATCATAAGCTTCAATGCCTTTGCTTCACAGGTATTTATCTTCATCTTCAGGTGCAATATTTATTCTACAACTAATTGTTCTGTTGTAAAATTAGTCTACTAATGTAGTAACACCATCGAGGAAATTGATCGAACTGCATTATTGTCAGTCCAAGAGATTTCATTTATTTTATGTACTCATGATTGGACTATGAATGCAGATGTGTCTTAAAATACATTGTTGCAGTTGTACCAATAAACTCTTGAACTTTCTGATTTATAAATTCAATGTGGTGCAGTAATGAATCATTTCTGTTAGAATCTCAGCTCCGACTATGAGTGTGATGTGATAGTAGTAATGAATAGTTTCTGTTGGAATCTTGGTTAACCGTTACTTGTCCTGCAATGTTCTTTCAGCTAGATATGCCAACACGAATTTTCGCAACCAGAGATGTACTCTGGTATGGTTTACGGTGGATATTCAGCTTCATGATCATAGAGATCATGAATCATTTATTTCATTACAATGCATTCGCAGTCAGGTAAAATTTAGTAACTTAAGGATAACAGGCTAAAATTCTTACAATGATAATCAACTTATTAAAGCAGTTCTCAATCAACCAACAGTGGCCTGTGGAGGTCGTTGTCACCTATGGACATGTTCATCATCACATATGGGGTAAGATCTCAGCTCCATACCACCTTGTTCCTGCATTTATGTGTTTGTAGCTGTTGATACAATAGTTTGTTACAGAGCTTTTTTTTCTCCATCGATTGAATGAGACAAGGTAGCCTAGCCCAACCTATTATGCTGGATATGAAATCAAACTACCTGTTTTTTCTGGGGTAGAAGTAGAAGTGTGATTCTGTTAATTGATTTGTTGTAGGCTTATAATGTACTCCCCTAATCCCTCATTTGCATCACCCATAGATCAAACTATTATGGTTCATGCAGAATAATGCAATGAAAATCTCCATGACATAGGAACCAACACACAGGGAAAAACAGTGCTGGCAAACTGAGTTCCAAGCTTCCAGCTGTTCTGTTCAATAGTGTGACCTCTCTGTTCCTGTCATATTGAACTGCCACTTGCTTGTCCGGTACAACTACCTTTCTTAAGATTCTGATCAAGTGAAGAGCAGCAGTCAACCATCCCATTCGTCGCTATTTTCTACTTGCAAGAGCATATTTACCATGTTCATGCACATGTACAAATAATTTAGTCATCCTCATTGGTCTGCCTGAATTAAGATTATTGAGTTCATATGTTTGATAAGTCGTGCAAATCATTGAAGTGATGTATTGGAAATTATTGCAGCAGTTCTCAGCTCTCTCCCTAGGACATGGTCTCCTCTCTGATTAGTTTAATAACTGTCTACTGCTACAGGTCTTGAACTTTATGTGGCTGAAGTTTTTCCTCATATGGCGCTATTTTCGGCTTTGGTCACTGGTATGGTTATGGTTGCTAAGATTTGGAGCTTTGGAGTATTTTGCTCTGGCATTTAGTTCTATGCACATCAGACTTAAACAACATGCTTTACAGATTAGTGGCATAGAGGCTCCTGAGAATATGCCTAGGTGCATAAATAATTGCTACAACTTGGAGAGCTTTTGGAAAAATTGGCATGCTTCCTACAATAGATGGCTTGTAAGGTGCACCTTTTTTTTGCGCATCATGACTTGTATTCATCCATGGTTTCAGCTATGAGATTTGTTCTCTAAAAGTTCTATTTTTCCAGGTACATATATATTCCCCTTGGTGGGTCTCGGACGAAGTTTCTAAACATCTGGGTGATATTCACATTCGTTGCTATTTGGCATGATCTAGAATGGTAAGTCAATGTTATTTTCTTGTTCCCGAACAATTTAGCTGGTAATCTGATAATTGGTTTATTGCATTTTACCTCAGGAAACTTCTCTCATGGGCATGGCTAACATGTTTATTCTTCATCCCAGAAATGGTAGCCAAATCAGCAATCTCTACACTACAGGTGGTCTATCTGTAAATGAGCAAATGCTATTTAAGTTCATAATCCATGGGAATTTATACCTTGGCATCAGCGTTCATTTTTCATTTTCTAAGTGTCAAGCACATGCATTAAAGCAGCTCACATGCTGCTGGTCACTTCATTTGCCCCCTCCCCCTTTTTTCATTCTGTTTGAGAAGGATAAATGCTCATCAAATTCAAAGTGTAATCTCAATAAAGCTTCTTCTAGTCAAAACTCTTTTGGCAATGCATAGTCAAACAAACGCTTACTAATAATAGCTCGAGCTTTATTGTATGCTGCATGCATATCTGTCAGTACAGCTACTTCTCGTTTCAGCGTTGATCCAGTCCACAATTTTTTGTTTTGGTTGTTGGCCCAAGGTTCGAACCCAGGTGTGGTGGATGTTCTCATCCCCACTAGGCCAGCCCCTTGGGGTTCATCCAGTCCACAATTTACTTGGGGTATTGTTGATGTTCTTTGGTGCCTTTTCCCAGGTAGAAACTGCTTCTGGGGAGCTCCTTTCGCGAGAACTCAAGGCTGTGGCTGGTGCAATCACTATTACATGTCTCATGGTCTGTTTTTCTGTTTAAGATTTAAAAGCTGATGTTTTATTAACTGTGATCTAAAGTTCTGGCACGTTCTTTAAGCTATGTGACTAACTTGATGTTTCTACCTGTCTTATTGATATTAGTATCTCTCTGCTTTTTAATGCTTAAAGCCATATTTTCCTCGTCTCCCAGTTGCTAAAACAGTACACGTAGTAGCATTAGTTGTTACAGTTGCTAGTAATTTTGTGCAGGTAGCAAATTTTGCTGGCTATGTTGTTGGACCATCTGGTGTCAACTGGATAATTTCCCGGTTCTCAAGTAGAGAAGGTACGTTAATACTGCATTTCTTCGTCTACTTTTAGACATCTTTGGATGCGAACAATGTGGTGTGTGGGTTAAGCATTAACAATGCAGTGCTTGCTCCTGGTTACAGGACTACCGGTGCTTTGTTGGATGATGGTGACTTTCTACCTGGCGGTTAAGGTAAGAACAAAGAAGCAGCGCGTAGAACATAAGATTTTAGTTTAGGATAATAATGAGCCGAGGCATAACATTGACTTTTGCAGCTGATTCTCCACATAGAGGACGCTAAGCGGAAGCAGCAATAGTACATGGAACCCAGAATGGACACCGCTTTTGAACTGCTGCTGAGTTTTGAATGTCTGCCAAATTTTGTAAGGAAATGACGAGAGGAGAGCCGAGAGAGGGAGCGTATAATTAAAAGCAGCTTCGCCCTTTGCCCCCCTAAGTTTTATGTGGCGCATTTTAGTCAGAAAATCTGCTCCGAGGGTCTACAGTCAACAAATAAACCCGTTTGATAAAATAAACTTTAAGGCAACTGACCTTCGGTTTCTCAAGTGTGCTTTATTACGGTCACAACCTCATTTGTTTACTTCTCAATTATTAGTCGTTATCATGAGGAATATGGTCATGGATTTTGACCTACAATTCCATCAGGAAATGGACAAGCGTCAATAGGATAGGACACACATTAATATCCTAGGTGTACTGCAGCACCCTTAGCCATTCAGCAAATTTAACGAAAATAAACAAATGATTATTAAACATTATATGTCGTCCAATCCACCAAATAGTCAAATACCCATCCCTCACGCACTTAAGTCATACTATAGACTTTCACAAATAATTCTTACAGTTAAAATAGTTGAGTCGGGAGGTCAAACTTCTGATGGTTTGGACGACAAGTTGGATGACAATGGGTTGGGGGAGGGTTATGCTAAACTCAAATCCAATGCTACAGATTTATTCAAGAACTTTTTTTTGGTAAAACCCATTGGATATAGAAAACGCAAATCCAACCCAACTCGTTAGGTATGCGCGGGTTTATAGGTATCCATGGGTCCGTTTACAAAGATGTAATTTCACTAATTTTCACTTCTATTGTCTATTACATACACACTAACTCACGAACATTTTTTTTTCCGTTGAATAACTCACGAACATTTGTACTAAATGTTTAGTATTAAGGATAAACATCCACAAACAATATGATTAATTAGTTTAGAAATTATAGTTAATTAGTTAAGTGTTCCGTGGGTCGTGGGGCATGGGGCATGAACTTGGGTGCGGATATCCACGGGTTGGATATGGCTAAACCCAAACCTAACCCGTAAAACGTATAGTGGGTTTAAATCCGAATACGACCCACAATCCGTCAAAGCAGGTTTTACCCGCGTTGAACGGGTTGGGTCCAAATAACTCATTACAATCATCCATCCGAACGACCCTTTATAGTAAATGTTAGTCAATTCACCTAATGGCAAGTTGGAAATTTACTTTGTTGATTAATTACAACCCAAATGCACCCACCCGCCACCTACTCAATCCAATAAAAAAAATGTGAATGAATAACAAGTCACAATTGTACCGACTTGTTAGGTAAGGCCATCTCCAACAAGGAAGGGAAGTGCTAAAATCTAGCTCTTTCCTCCCTCTAACAACCAACCAAAAGAGCCAAAAAGCCAAAAAAGCAATAAATTGGGGTTGTTTTAGCCCAGTCCACGACAAAAAAAGGCAAAACCCGAACCCCTCTCTTTCTTCCCATTAGACGTGACGGGGAGGCGAAGTAATCTCCAGTTGCGCACGGGGATGCTTCTGATTGGCGCTTGTGACGGATGCGTGGCCCGCGCTGATGATATGCATTTCTCCCCGTTGAATAAAAAAATTATGGATAAATACAATATATTAGCCACAACTATTTAGAAGCGGTAAATTATAGTCACAACTATCGAAATACAAATTAAACACCATTACTATTGTTGCGGGTCAAGATGTGGCTAACAGTCTGTTACCGTCTTTAATTTTGTAACGAAGACTGCCACATCAGCAGCCATGTCTTCTTCCACGTCATATTACTTTTGACTTATAATTTTAAAACAAAAAAAACCCATCGCCTCATCTTTTTCTCTCCTTCCTCTTATTCCTCAACAAAGATAATCTGCTAGAAGTCTCTCCTCCTCCACCGCCGCCACATCATCCTCCTCCACCACTCGCCTTCTAATCTCTTCTTCCAATTCTTCCACCGACGCCGACGCTGTAATCATATCCTTCCACCGTGCAGCCTCTCCCCAGTGCGGATCCCCTTCTCCTCCTTCGTCAATTCCCCTTCCGCTGTCGTCGCTCTTTCTCACTATCGATCAACCAAGCAAATCAATCGATGAATCCAAAGATGGGAGAAGAGAGATGTGAGGCAGTTTGCGGCGATGACCGAAAGAAATTCCCAGATCTGGGCGGGTGACGACGGGGCCCTATCCCTGCCACCAAAGCTGCCGGCAGCGAGTGAGGATTTGAGACTTTTCCCCTCCCTTCTCCTCAGCAACTCCAATCTCGTGCCTCTTCTCAACTGAACCCAATTTCCCTTCCTGCATGCACATCATACCCGTAACCCACCTCCTCGTTCTTGGTCGGAGGGGGCTTCTTCTTGAAGATCTGGTTTGGAAAGAGCTAGGTGTGTATGACGAGGAGAAAGGCCACTAAAAAAACGAAGAAATTTGTGATAGATTGCATTACTTGAATGCTTTGTGTGTGGGTTTGATCTAGGTAAAGGGAACCCCCTTTTGTTAGGAGGCTTTGAGAAGTTGAATTCTTGGTCAATTGAGCCACCTACCTAGGACGAATTAGGGCAAACCTCAACCTTCGATTAAACACTTTAACTTGGGTGTTACTTTGATGTCCGGATTAAGTTATGAGGGATTGGTTCTTGCAACCCTTAGATAGTTGGTCAAGATAGCTATGACTCCTAGCTTATTGTTGCAATCCTTACAAGAAAGGTTAAGAGAGCTAGACTTCCTAGTTTATTGTCGCAATCCTTAATCAATTGATTGAGAGAGCTAGGGATCCTAGCTTAAAAGTTTTCCTTAACCGGTTGATTAAGAGAGTGAGCTTTCATTCACTTATTGCGCCCTCCTAACGGTGCATGAACACACCTTCACATATTTGCATTCGATTTGGTCGATCTTGATATGAGGTTAGGCAGAGCGATACCCGGGTGAATTCTTCTCTCATTGGGACAACCTCTATTTACTTTGTTTGTTTGTTTGTTTATTTTGTAGTTTTCTTAGCTTTTAAAACCCAAAGCGCTTGAAGTAGGGGTACATGGACTGACACAGGTTGACATTTTAAATACTATCCCTATATTGCACTCGGCTAGAGTCTAAAAAATTAAGCTCTAGTCGGGTAATTCACGGTATAATTCATGGGGAGTCAAGTTCTTGGCGCCGTTTCCAGGGAACAACGGTCCATTATTTTGAAAAAGTCTCTTAGTGTTACTCTAGCATTTTCTATCTTGTCTTTTGTTGCGTTTTGTGTTTTATCGTTTTGTATTTGTTGATCCACTCTTCGCTTGAAGGGTGGTTTGTGTGTGTTTGATTTTCCTTTTTTAGTGTTTGTAGGTATGAGACATGGATCCTTATGATTTCACCCAACTATGGGGGTATCCACCACCCACCGAGAGTAGTTACCGCGGAACTTTATGGGATGAAGAAAATGGGGGAAGTAAAGGATCTGGGTTCTACTACCAACCTACTTTCCAAGAAGAGAAACCATATCAAGAAGGTTTCCCTCCACAACTCAAGGTGAAATCCATGTTGGAGTTGGCTATGGAGGCTTTCATGGGACAAACCTCAAGACCATATGCCACTCCACAATCGGATCCAAGAAGCGAATTGGAACTCTTGGTGGAGCGGTTTGCCCGGGGTTCCGAGGGAAATGCTTCTACTGTAGAACAACCTTGCTACACTCCACAAGAACTGAAGAGCCAATTGGAGCTCTTGGTGGAGCGGTTCACCCGGGATACTGAAGCATGCTCCAATGTGGAAACCACCACCCCTATCAACTCCTCCTTCCTACAAGCATCGGATGAGATCCTCCGAAACTCGGAGAGGCTAGGAACAATTGTTGAGCACGCATGTGCACAACTTGCTCACAATCACTTCTTGCCATTTTAAAAAGAAGAGAAAGTCGAAGAGGCGATCCATGAGGAATTTGGGGAGCAAGAAGAACTCATCTTGGAGAGCTCCCGAGATGATGTTGAGCAATCAAGTTTTTTGGTGGTAGACCACATGTTTCTGTCTTCGTCTTCGATCTTTAAAGAGTTGTACACAAAGTGTAACATCCCAAACCCTTTTTCGACGAAGATATTGTCCGCTTTGGGCCGAGACCCTCACGGATTTTGACTTGTGGTGCAATTCAAAGTGACTTCCCATAAATAAATAGGGAAAACATAGGTAATACATATGGGAACACACAGGAAAATAAATAGGGAACACATAGGGAATACATAGAAAATACATAGGGAAATATATGGAAATACATAGGGAGTACATCGACACATGATACTACTACTCTCCTCCATGTTTTGACCATAAATGATCAATCAAATCGTTTCTCAATGCGTGATGTCCTTGTCGATCACAAATCCTTCTCTGTCTTGCCATGGAATCCATGAGAGTTGGAATGTTATGCTCAGGTGGATCCATGTGAAATTGGGATTAGTCTCATATTCAATGTTTTCCACTACCCCATCCCCATACTGGAACTGTTGATCTTCCACTATCATGTTGTGCAAAATGATACAAGTTAATAATCTCACCAAGTGACTGCACGTCCCAAACACGACTTGACCCTCTAAAAATTGCCCATTGTCTGTTGTAGTATGCCAAATGCTCTTTCAACATCTTTGTGGTATGCTTCCTGATACTTTGCAGACAACACGTTTTGCCTACAATAAAAATCATCTCCAACACAGATAATTCTTGTCATCTAAACACATTCATTACACAAAAGGGAACTTGAAATCAATAATTACTAACTTCTATTCATATCATAAAAATCAGTGCATAATACATATCCAAAATTCTTAAGCAGTACATAACAATCCTATCATTCTAATTAGTAGTTTGCATTTCACATATATCTTCTAGCTAATAATAGTTCTACTACTAGAAACTTCACATGCTACATATTTACAAAAGCTTCTACCTTCTAAGTTGGAAGTTTGAACTTGATTTGTAAAAGCTTCTTACTAACTCTTACCAAGCATCAAAATTCATATATCAAGCATCAGAATCCCTTCATCAACTTGGAAAACAGACGTGCAAATGAAGAGAAGATTGTCAATATCATTATAAAATTTGTCATTATCATTTCTCTTAACTTCCATTACTAATTAGAATAACAAACTAGCTATACCCAGGACAACAAACAACAACACATATCACAACATAATAGCCACATAAAACCACGACAGTAGCTGTGATTGTATGGGCAGACATCAACCAAATTCTAATCCTAACTGCTGTAGAAAACACTAAATAGCAGTTGTAAACAATTGGGCAACATGTGATGAAGCTTTTAACCATGTACAATTAATATACCATCCATAAAAGTTCTAACTAATGCTACTACTCTCGTATGCACATATAAATACTGATTAAATATATATCATATATATAGTGTAATTACATAAAGTCACTAACCGTTTATAACCGATGACTCGATATTTGCACATGTTTTTGTCCACCATTCTTATATTGTTTGAGGCTCGGATCTCGGGTTTTATACCTATTTTATGCTTGGTTGTGCTCTTTTGTCACATTTCAGGTCCCAGACGTCGAAAGAAGGGGTAGGCACGAGTTTCAGGGCGTTTGCAGGTCATTCGGTGTAACTGAGGTAAAACACAGGCAGACTACTTCAGAAACACGACCGTGTTCACGAAGGGGCACGCCAGTGCTTTTTAGTGCGCGAGCTTAATCGATGCAAGGAGCAAGCACGGATGCCATTGACTCAAAACACGGTCGTGTCCCCAACCCATGTTTTTTTTTATGCCGAGAGCTTGTTGGTGACTGTTGCTGAGGAGTCCAAAACACGGGTACAGCTCTTCTGAAACACGACCGTGTCACTCCTAGGACACGCCCGTGTTACGCGACGCGAGCGTGTAGTTCTCCACGTGAGAACAGAACACGGGCGGACAAAGTTAAACACGGTCATGTCCTCGACCGTGTTTTGGCCAGTATCGGGTTAAAAGAGGCATATTCGAGCCAAAGGAGGGTGAATCGACTTTCTGGAGCAAAAACAGAGTCCTAGAGAGAGAAAGTGTGAAGAACAAACCCTAGGACTGATTTTGGAGCAAGGTTTCATCAATCAAGCTTGGATTTCGTCCTTGGAGTGAAGATTATCATCCCAGAGCAGATTCTTCCATCATTATGAGTATGACTGCTTTGTATTCTGTTTTCCTCTCTCTCTCTCTCTCTCTCTCTCTCTCTTTATGGAGTAGAACTCTCTCACTTGGGTATGAAGAACCCTAGTTCCATGTGTTAGGGATCATGTTTGTAATGACTTTTGGAGTGATATACTGCTTGATTATAATCGATTGAAGTGCGTTTATTGAGTCAATTGATGCCTAATCAACTTTTTTTGATTTTTGCTGCAACTTGTGATAGATAGAATCTGATTAGGTTGTTAGAGCTTCTTCAATCGGTAGTAGTGAACTGATTATACGAGAGTTAGTCGATTCACTGCTTTGTACTAGAATTCAATTTCAGTAGTGGAGTTCTGTGTTAATTGCCTTAGCTTTCTATCACGGTGAAGACTAGTCGTCTGCCGGTTAGTCTATCTAAGAGGGCTTGGTCAGCTTAAGAGATTCCAAACTACTGTCGGATCTTCCATAGTTTAATCAACAGTAAATCAACCAAGGGAAATTACAACTTGGACCTAACTAAGGGGCTAGGGGGACTCATTCCCGAGTGACTCTTTCCTTGCTTTTGAAAACCAAACAATTTCATGCTTTCTTACTGCTTTTGTTTACAATCACTCTCACTAAACTTAGTCCCGCTAGATAATAGATAATCATGGAGTAGGCAGTAGATCTAGACCCCGGTTTGATAAATTAAACTTGCCACTATTCTGCATTTCCGGACTGCGATTATACTTGGTCGCAGTTTAATGTTGTGTTTTAGCGTGCCAGGTTTTTGGCGCCATTGCTAGGGACTTCTAGGTTATTGGAGAAACGTGAAAGTCTGTTACTTTAGCATTTTTCCTTTCTGTTCCACCCTTGCTTTTCACTTGGGTGTTTTGTTTTTGTTGGGGCAGATCTGAAACATGGATCCTCATGGTTTCTCCAACCATTGGGGGTATCAACCACCATCCGTGTGGTACTACCCCGAGACTTCATGGAGCAATCAAGGAGGAGAAGATTATGGATTCAGGTTTCAGTACCAACCCCCCTCCTACGGAGAACAACCAAGCCCTTGGGAACCTCAAGAACAATCTCCTTTTCATAAAAAATTCCTCTCACAACCAGAGGGGCCATTTGAGTTGGAGCTAGTGATGACTCAATGTTTGCCATGTTTTCCCCTTTGTTTCTTGATCGTTTAAGCTTGCATTATCGCTTCTTTGGCCTATTTTACGCTAGGTTGTGTTTCTTTGTCACATTTCAGGCCCTAGCACATAAAGTGAAGCGTAGGCGCAAGTTTCAAGTCAATCGGAGATCATTTGGCAATTCGGGAGAAGAAACACGAGCATGACCTGAGGAATAATGGATTTCTACCTCATATAATGGAAAAATTATCATGGAAGTTTGTTATGAAAAGAAAGAGAAAGAGACTACGAGCGTCTGGGTTCAAACGGCGACTGATTTGGAGTCCGGACGAGGGAGAAACGAAGCTTTGAACAGGAGCGGAGGAAGAATTACGGGTAGGAGAATTACGGTCGTAATTTCCCCTCCCATGCCCGTATTTTCACTGCCGAGAGGAGCTTTGGGTGCGCTGAAGCTTAACCAAAACGCGTGTTTTGGGCAAAATACGGGCATGGAAGAATTACGACCGTAATTCAGCCCGTAATTCGCCCAGAATCAGGTTTTTGAGGCAGATTCGAGCCAAAGGAAAGGGAGAGCTGGTTTTTTGGTTCCCAAACACCCAAGGGACGAACCCTAGAGAGAGAGAGCGACTTGGGAACATTCTTGGAGCTATTTTGGGGGATTTCTTCGCCATTGGAGCTCGGGAATCAAGCTTGGAGATGGAGATTGAAGATCTAGATCAGATTTCTGCAGTCTCTCTCTTCTCTATGGAGTAACTTCCCTTCACTTAGGTTTTGAGGAACCCTAGTTCCATGAGTTAGGATCTTTCTTGTATGAAGTTTTGGATGCTATATTGTTTGATTATAATTGAATGATGCATGTTTATTGAGTCAATTGAAGTATGATTAACTTTTCCTGATTTCTGCTACAACCTGAGATAGATAGAATCTTATTAGGTTGTTAGAGCCTCATCATTCGGTAGTAGGAGATTGGCTATACGAGAGTTAGCCAGTTTACTGCTTTGTACTGGAATCCAATTCCAGTAGTGGAGTTCTGTGCTTATTGCTTCAGCTTTCTATCCCGGTGAAGACTAGTCGTCTGCCGGATAGTTAGACTGAGAGGGCTTGGTCAGCTTAAGAGATTCCAAGCTACTGTCGGATCTTCCGCAGTTTAATCAACAGTAAAACAACCAAAAGGAATTACAACTTGGACCTAATTGAGGAGCTAGGGGGAATCATACCTAAGTGAGTTCCCAAACTGTAATTAGTAGTTTAACTTAGTTTAGTTAGTAGAGTAGTTTAGTTAATCAATCCTTAATCTAGTAGATAATGAACTGAAGCTGAGTAATAGTAACTCTAGAGACCCGTGGATTCGATATTTATTACTTGTGCCACTATACTGCAGTCCCTTTCATTGGTTACACTTGGCCATTGTTAGGTGTGGTGTTTTAGCGTGTCAGCTAGCCATGGAGGCCTTCACGGGCCATTCTGCAGAGCCATGCTACACTCCACTAGCAGATCCGAACAAAAAATTGAGACTTCTCGTGAAGCAGTTTGCTCGAGACACTAAGAGATCATCCTCAAAGATGGATCTTCAAATCCAAGCCCTTGCCCCTTCTGTTCCCTCATTTCTCCATGACATGGAGGAGGCTGTTCAGTGCTTCGCGAAGCAAACAGAGTGGGCGGAGCAAGTTTGCGCACAGCCCGCTCAAGACACCTTTCAGCTACCATATTAGAAGAGGAGGAGGATGACGCAGGCTACGAGGACATTGTGGAGCAGATAGAAGTTATCACGGAGAGCTCCCGTGATAATCATGATCAGGAATGTCCTGTGGTGGCAAATCACACCTTTCCCCATTTCTGCTTTGACAGGATGGGCCTGAGCGAGGAGATGCAAGATGATCTTATCGAAGCAAATGCTGTGCGACTTGCTCTCCAATCGGTTTTGGAAGAAG